ATAGCGTGCCAAGATGCTAAGAGGGTATGCAAGGTCAGGTCGTGTGCAGGTCATCAGGTACATGAGGCAGCCAACAAGCTCTGGGTACGGGCCACTCGACTCTACAGACTCATCCGAAGGCAGAGCTGAGAGCGAGTGGCGAGTAGACAGAGGAGTGGCCTGAGGTGAGGAGTACGTGAAGCCGAAGCGCTGAAGGACCTGCTGCACCATATATGACTGAGTCAACGTAATGGTGCGGTGTGCTCTGTCCAGGGTGATCTGCAAGCCAAGGTAGCTGCGCAGTTCACCCAGGTCTATGCACGTGTCTCTCTTCTACAGCTCCGACTTCACGTGGGCGAGTCCAGCATTGTCAGCAGTGGCAAAGACCAAGTCGTCGACATACACGAGGATGTAGAACGGCGGCAGAGAGGTGTCGGTGCGCAGAAACAGTGACGGGTCGGCTGTAGAAGGAGCAAACCCAAGAGCCGCAAGTGTAGTCCTCAGTGTGTCGTGCCACTCACGGGGCGCATGGCGGAGACCGTAGACTGGCCGCCGGAGACTCCACTGGATACTAGGAGGAAACGACCCAGTGAAGCCAGGAGGGCGGCGCAGCCAGATCTCCTCATGCAGGCTGCCCTGCAGGAAAGCTGTGCTGAAGTCAAGAGAGTGAAGCTCGTAGTCGCGCTCAGCGGCTATGTGCAGCAGCACCCAAAGAGTGGTCATCTTCGGCGTGGGAGAGAAGGACTGAAAGTAGTCAACTCCCTGCCGCTGACTGAAGCCTCGAGCCACGTAACGCGCCTTGAAGACAGGCGGAGAACCCGGCGGCCGCTTCACCCTGAAAATCCCCATGCCACTGACGATGTTCGCCCCAGGTGGGGGAACCTCGTCAACGTAGGTGCCAATTGACTTCCAGGAAGCCATCTCTGCGTCCATGGCCGACTGCCACTGAGAGGAGTAGGGACCCTCGAACGCCTCAGCGTACGATCCAGGAGTCGGGATGTCTGGTGCATCCGGGTCTCCCTCAGGGGCAATCAGCGTGGACACGACATGGGGCAAAGCAGCAGCAAAACACTGGAACTCCTCCTGCCTCTCCTCAAGGACGTCCGTGCTAAGAGCACACTCACCCCCGACGGACCGAGGACAGACAGACTCAGACTCAGCAACAAGACTAGCAGCGTAGTCTAGACGACAGCGAGCAGCAAAGTCAACAAGCTCAGCAACCAAGGCAGACGCAGCAGTGGACTCAAAGGAAGGGTCAGTGACAACAGTAGCAAGAGGGCGCATGACCGAAGGACTAGCAGCACGAAGGGAGTCAGACTCCGGGTCAGCAAGAGAAGGAAGAGAGGACTCTGGAGGAGACGGCAACGGGACACGCAGAGGAGCAGTGGAAGGACGCAGTGCCATCTAGTGTGTGCCGGGGACCGCAGGAGGACACGTACGCGCAGCACGACCACTAGTGCGAGCAGCACGAACAGGCAACGCAGGACGAGACGCAGGCTCATGACGCTCAGCAAGACCTCCAGTAGGACAGTTGTAGGGAGAAGGAGCAGGGAGAGGGGAAGCAAGCTGTAACTGTGACTGCATCTGGACAGGCTGAGGACACGTAACGCGCCTTGAAGACAGGCGGAGAACCTGGCGGCCGCTTCACCCTGAAAATCCACATGCCACTTAGGATGTTTGCCCCAAGTGGGGGAACCTCATCGACGTAGGTGCCTTTGGACTTCCAGGAAGCCATCTCTGCGTCCATGGCCGACTGCCACTGAGAGGAGTAGGGACCCTTGATCGCCTCAGCTACGATCAAGGAAACGGGATGTCTGGTGCATCCGGGTCTCCCTCAGGGGCAATCAGCATGGACACGAGATGGAGAAAATCAGCCGCAAAGCACTGGAACTCCTCCTGCCTGTCCTCAAGGACGTCCGTGCTAAGAGTACACTCACCCCCGACGGACGGAGGACAGACAGACTCAGACTCAGCAACGAGACTGGCAGCGTAGTCTAGACGACAGCGAGCAGCGAAGTCGACAAGCTCAGCAACTAGAGCAGACGCAGCAGTGGACTCAAAGGAAGGGTTAGTGACAAGAGTAGCAAGAAGGCACGTGACCGAAGGACTAGCAGCACGAAGGGAGTCAGAATCCGGGTCAGCAAGAGAAGGAAGAGAGGACTCTGGAGGAGACGGCAACGGGACACGCAGAGGAGCAGTGGAAGGACGCAGTGCCATCTGGTGTGTGCCGGGGACCGCAGGAGAACGTGGATGCGCAGCATGACGACTAGTGCGAGCAGCACGAACAGGCAATGCAGGACGAGACGCACGCTTAGACACTCAACAAGACCTCCAGTAGGAGCAGTGTAGGGAGAAGGAGTAGGTAGCGGGGAGGCAGGCTGTAACTGTGACTGCGACTGGACAGGCTGTGGACACTCTAAGGGAGGAGCAAGACCAGGAGAGGGCGGGAGACCAAGAACCTGCTCCAGGAGCGGAACAAAGTACGGCCTCGGCCGCTCAACGCCTCCAGAACCAGCAAGGACGGCGCCGGTACCCCCAGCGGCAGCACCAGCGCCACCAGCACCTCCAGCTCCAACAGCGCCAACTCCAGCACCCTCACAAGCACCAGCGCCAGCACCATCGCCAGCGCCAGCACCCCCAGCAGCTCCAGCTCCAGCAGCACCAACTCAAGTAGAACCGTCAGCACCACCAGCCTGAGCAGCACCCACAGACGCACCAGCACCTGTAGAAACACCAGCGCCAACACCCCCAGCAGCTCCACCTCAAGTAGCACCAGCACCGCCAGCAGCTCCAGCATGACCAGCTCCAGTAGCTCCATCAGCACCCCAAGTCTCACTAGCACGTCTCCAGCGGCGGGCAAACCACTCGCACAGCTCGTGTGGAGAGAGCGGCTCCCGCCTCGACGAAGTACCGCTGGCGGCCACACGAGCAGACCCAACACCCCCAGGCTCCACACCCCCAGGCTCAGCTCCCCCAGGCTCAGAGCCCCTAGGCTCAGCACCCCCAGTGTCAGCACCCCCAGACTCAGCACCCTCAGACCCGGCACCCGCACGCTCAGCACCTCTAGCTGCACCAGAGTGAACAGCTACCTCGACAGGCTCGACTGCGTCTACCTGGGACACACCTGACGGGGCAGGACCCTGAGGGGTGAGGGGGTCTACCTGGGGAGGACCTGGAGCAAGGAAGAGCGGCGGCGGGGGGAGGGGCGCAGTGCGGTAGGGGAAGACACGGTATTAAGGCACCGACTCGTGAAAGGTGACGTCCTGGGAGGACAGAACACGGCGCGAGGTGGGGTGGTAAAACTGCCACACAGGCGCGACAGGGGGGAAGCCAAGGAAGACGCAGGGAACTGCACGGGGGGACAGCTTCTCCTCAGACAATTCGCGGACAAACGCCCGAGATCCCCAGACCCGAAACACAGACGCATTGCCAACCTTCCCTGTCCACCGCAGGGTGGGGGAGGTCTCTTGCAAGGAGACGCGGGACTGAAGGTTGAGCTGATGCGCGGCGTATTGAACCGCAAACGACCACAAAAAAAGGGGGGCAGCTGCATGCATCATGGACGTACGAGCGACGTCCATGACCATGCCAATGCGGCGCTCAGCAATCCCATTTTTCTGTGGAGAGGCCGGAAGCGTGAAGGTCTGGCGGATGCCCTGTGCACGACAGAAGGCTCCTAGACGGGCAGAGGAAAACTTCCCGCCTCTGTCCGAGTGCAGACGCAGAACAAGAAAGTCCGAGCCGAAACTCTCTCTGAGCTGGAGACGAGCTGCGCGGATCCAATCGATCAGCACCTCAGTGACGTCACCCTTGCTGCACAAGGGGAAGACTGTGGTGTAACGCGAGTAGTCATCAACCACCAGCAGAAAGTACCGCTCACGTCCCTGCCCACTCCCCACACGTCCATGTGGAGAGTCTGCAGCGGAGCCTCTGTCGGAGGAAACTCAGAGGAGTGAGGGGCGGCGCGCTGTCGCCCCTCGAGGCAGGTAGGGCCAGCCATGGAGGAAGGGGAGGGAGAGACTGAGGGAGACTAGAGACAAGGACACGGGAGGCCATGCCTCGGAGACGAGGCAAGGAGGGGTGACCAAGGCAGTCGTGCCAAAGGAGAGTCTGGTGGGACAGCAGACGATACGAGCAGGGAGCAGACTCAGGACCAGACCTGGACGCCGCAGCAAACACCTGACTCGACGCAGCTACCTGGGCAGACTTAGCAGTAGGAGGAGACTCTGAAGTAAGGGTGTACAGGCTCGACCCTGGCCGACGGGTGAACGTGGCCAAGTGTCGGCCTGTCCGAGCACACTTGCAGTGGGTCACTCGCTGACTCGCAGGATTGAACTCGTCAACCCCCCTATTCTGTAGGTCCGCTCCACTCACCAAGTTTGTAGAAAATGAGGGGAGGTAGAGACCAGACAGGGTGCCAGAGGGGGCTGCCGGGCACCGTAGGACAGTGGAGAAGCTAGCAAGGACAGGACCCCCAGAGGGGTCTGCAAGGGAGACTGCAACTAGCCGACTGAGCAGCGTAAGAGTGGTGCGGTCTCGAAAGAAGGAGCGGGATGCACCCGAGTCCAGGGTGAAGGTGTGGAAGGCTTGAGCCAACGCAGTACCTAAGAGAGCAGACTCACCAGCACTTGGGGCAGCAGACGCACTAGCACCTAGAGCAGCAGCCTCACCAGCACCTAGAGAAGCGTCCTCAATGCCCGGGTCAGGCGGTACACACAGGTAACAGGCACCCTCAACACTAGTATCAACAGCATACATAGTAGCAAGAATAGCATCAAAGTCAAGATCAAAGATAGCAACCCCGGCCTTAGTCTGATCTCCCCAGCGAGGGATCTCTGACGCCTCAGGGAACTGGCGACGCCACACATCCCTCAGGCGACCAAAGCAGCGCTGGGTGGAGTGCGGGCCTACGCACTGCTCACCAGCTCGGTCGCCGGTACGAAGGACGTAAGCGCAGGGACCAAAACCCCCACCGCGCTGACGCGCAGTGTACCACTCACGAAGCTGCTCAGGGGACAGGGTCACACCACTCCGCTCCTGCTGGCGCTAACCACCACCGGCGCCACTCCTCTGCGCACAGTAGCGACCCGCTCCACCACCGCCGCCTCCGCCACCGCCGCCTCCGCCACCGCCGCGGCCACTGCCTCCGCCGCCTCCTCTACCTCCGCCTCCTCCACTGCCTCCGCCGCCTCCGCTCCCTCCGCCACCTCCACCGCCTCCGCCGCCTCCAGTGCTGCCGCCGCCGCCGCCACCCTCGACACCACTCCCACCACCACCCCCACTCCCTCCACTGCCTCCACCACCACCTCCACCGCCCCCTCCAGCCCCTCCAGCGCCCTTGCCCCCCTTGCCCTTGCTGGTGCGGCGTCTCTCGCTCGGGGCAGACGCAGCGCCGACCGACTCGAAACCAACGAGGTCGGCCGCAGCAGAAGAGGCAACAGAGGGCAAGAGGGGGGAGGGAGAACACCCCTCAAAGACGGGGGTGCGAGGGTCACCACGAGAGGCTCCTATAGCGACTATGCTCTTCTCTATCACTAGGAGGGCCTTCTCGAGGAAGTCAACGGTGAAAGTGGTGGGGCAAACTGAGAGGAAGTGGTCCCTGACTACCCGAAGAGAGTCACGGAGCCGGGTGACTATGTAGTAGAGGGTGGTGTACATGGGGGGGGGGGGGGGGTTCTTGGCGCAGAACTCAGCAGGAAGCGCAGCGCGGTAGCGAGTGTCACTAGTGCGGAGGTGCGTAATGAGGTCAGCGACTGTGGGAAAGGCAGCAAGGTCGGGGAAGAGGTACGGTAGCATGAGGCGGCTCAGTGCAACAGTGGCAGGGGAAGAGTAGCGTGCAACTACAGCGTCGTACAAGGTCTTAGCACTCTTGTACTGGCTAAAGTGTCCACGCTCAGTGGTTGGTAAGTGGCGGCGCACAGCAAGGCGAGCAGCAGCATCGTGCATGGCCCACTGTGAGCGAACAGTGGCATCAGCATCAGCAGCAGGGGCAGGAGAGGCACCAGAAGTGAGGTCAAACAGGGAGAGGCCGTCCTCCCTATCGCACTGGAGAAACAGCTGGAGGTCATCGACCCAGACCTCAAAGTCAACGGCACGGCCCTCAGCATCAAAAGTGAGGACACTGGGGGTAGCCATGAGTGCGGTGGCCTAGGAGGAAGTGAGCTCACCAGTCCGAGGAAGGAGGGGCCGGGGAGCACCGGTAGGAACAGCAGCTGCTATACAGTAGGGCGGCTCGGTGGCTCGGCGACAGGGCGGCTCGGCTGCAGGGCGGCTTGGCTGCTGGGCGGCTCAGCGGCGGGGCGGCTCGGGTGCTGGGCGGCTCGGCGGCAGGGCGGCTCGGCTGCTGGGTGGCTCGTGGCAGGGCGGCTTGGCTGTTGGGCGGCTCGGCCGCTGTGCTGCTCGGCTGCTAGGGTAGGGCGACGGGGCCGCAGGTGGCGACGGGGCCACAAGTGGCGACGGGGCCGCAGGTGGCGACGGGGCCGCAGAGGGGCCTAAACGGGGCCGTGAAGGGGCCAGACAGGGCCGTAGCGGGGCTGTAAAGGGGCCAGACGGGGCCGTAAAGGGGCCAGATGGGGCCGCGGAGGGGCCTAGGCGGGGCTGCAAGGGGCCTAGACGGGGCCGTGAAGGGGCGGTAAGGGGCCAGACGGGGCCGCGGAGGGGGCTAGGCGGGGCCGCGGAGGGGCCGTAAGGGGCCTAGGTGGGGCCGTAAGGGGATGTAAGGGGCCAGACGGGGCCGCGGAGGGGCCTAGGCGGGGCCGCGGAGGGGCCCTAAGGGGCCTAGGCGGGGCCGTAAGGGGCCAGACGGGGCCGCGGAGGGGCCTAGGCGAGGCTGCGACGGGGCCGTAAGGGGCCAGACGGGGCAGCGGAGGTGCCTAGGCGAGGCCGCGACGGGGCCGTAAGGGGCCTAAGCGGGGCCGTCAGGGGTCAGACAAGGCCGTAAGGGCGGCGCGAGGAGCCGTAGAAGGCGGCGCGAGGGGCCGTTAGGGCGGCCAAAGGGGGGCCACTAAGGGCGGCTCGAGGGTAGGTAAGGCACTCGAAGCGCTACTCGGGTAGGAGCGAAGCGCGTTCTGGGCAGGAAAAAAAAATCGTGGTGGGCCCTAGGCAGCATTCCCACTCGGGAACCTACTCGATACCATGATGAGAAATGAGAATGGATGAATGAACTATGAAAGAGTTGGGTACAAGTACTAACCCTAATTGGGTTGTACCCCTTATGGGCTACCCCACTACAGCCTACACAAATGAATAAGCTATAATGTTCTGACAGCCACGTCTTTTGACTTCAGGGGTGCCACAGTGTTGTTGCCCTTCAGCTCCGCTCGTGCCTTCTTCATTTTCCAACACGACAAGAGTCAACGTCTTGTAGCGCCGCAAAATTCACATTTCTCATATTCTGCCAGCTGCTGCTTCGCGTTGATCTTGTCGATATCCATCGGGTCGGCGGTCGTGGGTGGTGCCGATCAATCCGTGCCGAATGATCTGTTCGGCACGCGTCGTCGTGTTTCGGGTTGACTTTGAGTCAGCGCATCAAATCTCTCTGCTGCACACACCATGTCGCGGTAGTTGTTGTAGTTCGCGGCAATCACCTGTCGGCGGACTTCCATTTTTAGACCCTCAGTATACGCTTGGATTTTTTCCCCTTCGGTCAAATCGGTAATCCGATTGAAGAGGCTCTCTATCTACTGCGTGTACTGTATTATGCTGCCGTACTATTTCTGCCGATGAATCTGCTGCCGCGCCATGTAGCTGGAATTGATCGGTTCGAAACGTTGAATTAAAGCTGCCCGAAACTGCGTCCATGACCCCTCGCCTCGGACCTCATTGCTATTGTAAATCCACTCGAGCGCCGGGCCTCGTAATAGTGTTGCTGCGAGCCGAATCCGCATTGCATCGTGTGTCCGGGTCGTACAGCCAACGGCCTCGAAGTAAATTTCAAGGGTCGCAATGAATCGATGGACGTCGGTGTCTCTCGCATTCGGATTGAACGTTTCCGGTAGCCTTGGACGTGCCGCCTCAAGATTCACTGTATCCGCTGCTGTTGCTACTGGGTGAAGTTTCGGTGTTGCCGCTGCTGCTGCTACCATTGTGTTGCGTTCGCTGCTGCTGTGGTGGCTGCCGACTGGCTTGCGAGAAGCTCCTCTATTCGCAGGAGTGCTGCTCGCGTCTGGTCAAGGCCGGTTTGTAACTCCGTAATTTTTCGTACGAAATTATCACCATTTTGCTCCATTTGACGATTTACAAGAAGATGTGCGACAAAAATAATTAATTTCTAGGGTTTGGTCCACTCATTGCGAGTCGAATCGACTGTAGAAATGACAAGCGCTGCTTCTGTACATCGCGGAAATCTCCCTTAGTTGCAATTCGCGTCCAATCTCGGCCGTTGAGAAGAATTTCGATCCGACGCTCCAAATTCCATTTCTTTTGGGCGAAATTCTCAGGGTCGTAGAGATTCGTATCGATCTGACAGTCGAAATTCCAACTTTTTCGCCACTGGACCTGAGGATTGTTCGAAAACCGGTTCGAGGGGGACGTTAGAAAATAGCGCGGAACTGGTTTACGTACCCGAAATCGGCGCTTTCCGTCGTCGCCCCCGCGGTCTTAAAAGCTAGGTTTTAGCGGTCGAAAAACTTCGTGTCTAAACAGGCTCTGATACCAAGTGTGAGGATCTAGGTCGAGCTCAGAAAAGAGAGTTTGAATTGAATGATTCATCTGGGTTCAAGGTGAGGCTATATATAGGCTCGACACAAAGGCAGTAACCCGGGTGTTACTAGAAGGTTCCGCATGTCGCGAAGCGTCCCGAACGGGTCCTTCATGAATTAGGTAGAAGGCAATTCGGTGGCAACCGAAAAGCCTAGAATTCGGTGCAATTAACCTAATACGGTGCCTAAAACTGTAATAACTATAGTAGAAGCAACGAACCTTGGAAATTAGGCAAAAGCATGCAAGATAAATTAAAGCTAAGCTAGTAATAGCATAATAATGTCCAGCAAAGCCGTCGTACTCTCACACGTATCGCAGGCAAGGATGATATCACCCACTGGGATCTCCAGTTACCAGCCCTAGAGTTCGCTTACAACAATGCATCACATGCGCTCACGGCAAAATCTCATTTCTTCTTGTGTTATGTGCGTGAACCAATCACACTGCAGCAGCCAACTGCATGGCACATGGCAAATTCAAGATTGCACCGACAACGCTGGATGGGACTAACATTTTAGTGGGGCTTCATTGGTTACCACTGTACAACCCGCAAATTGATTGGACGACAGGCAACTGCAATATGCGAAACGGCGGTAAATGGTTTGCATTACCTTGCTAGAAGTCCCATGGGACTTCAACGGTCCACGTCAACGTTATTATGATAAAGAGGGTTGTTGCTTTAGGGGCTCACATGTACACTGTAGATGTCACAGAGGGAGAAGCCGAGAAGCCTAGCGATTTGCATACACTACTGGCAACCGTACCGCCCGAACGACAAGAGTAACGGTACCTCGGGGTAGTTCCTGACGACTTACCAGGGGGAATGCGACCTCAGCAACCGAACAACCACCAAAAAAACAAAAAACAAAAAAAAAAAAAAAAAAAGCGGGAGCACAGCCAATTGTATAGCGACAGTTCTGGCAACAGCACTTAGTTGATTTGAATTTTGTGCTTAATATTTTAGACGAACATCGTCTGCTGACGAAGGGCTCAAAGTGCGACTTTTTGAGAACCGCTTAGAATTTTTGGGGCATGTCATCTCAGAAGCTAGGGTTGAAATCGACCCTAAAATGTTTTCTTGGAATACCATCAAGCCATGCCACCAGTCGACAAACATCACGGGGCTGCAATTTTTTTGGGGGGGTTTGATAAATAAAATCATTGGTTAGTATTCGACATGGCTCTGTTAACTACCCCACTGACTGACTTACAGCGGAAGCGGGTCGCTTTTAAGTGGGGGGAGAAAGACCATGCTGCCTTCTTTGCCCTGAAAAGGGTCACGTGTTCATCGGTTGTGGTACGCATCATCGACCCACACCGCCAATTTAAAGTGGTTACCGACACCAACGACATCCCCATTGGAGAAGTACTTCTACGGTACTTCGGGGACGGCTTGCAACCCATTGCATATGAGTCACGAAAGGTTTATCCGCCCAAAAATCACCAGATACGTGACCGAATGCTCACAATCTTGCATGCATTCAAAGTGTGGCGCTGTTACTTGACTGGCGCAGAAGCGACAACTAGGAAAGACCACCGCTCACTACACTATCTTCGCGCGGAACCATGCTTCAACCCACGACAGATCCGCTCTCGATTCCCTCGAGTCGAATTTTCACTACACGATCACCTATAAGAAGGGTGCCTCCAACATCGCCGACACACTAACCCGCCCGGCTGCCAGATACATGCAATACTAATCGCCCATACCAGCCCACTACTTACAGGACTATCGATCTATGTATACCAAACAGATCCATTCTTCACTAGTGGAAACTCGCAGCAGCACGAGGAGTGTATCGCGTAAATGCTGGCACCAACCGCATTTGGGTATCGGGCTACACCCTATTGCGGGAAGTACTAGTACAAGAAGCACGCGACGGATTGCCTGGGGACATTTTGGGATCGAAAAAACCAGATTGCATCTACCGCAGTATTATTCGTGGCCCGAAATGATGGCCGGCGTACAGTGACACGAGGCATCATGTCCCACTTGCTAGCTCATGAAATCATCACAATAGTGATATGCAGGGCAATTGAAGCAGATACCACACCCAAAACGTCCTTGTCAGCAGGAGATAATGGACTTTGTCATGAGGTCGGCTAGGGCAAGTGGGAATGAAGCGATACTCGTAGCCATCGATCAGCTAACAAAAATGGTCCATTTCGCAGCCTGCAAACAATAAATCTCAGCCGAAGAAACTGCATGGGTCTTCATTGCCACCGTCGTTCCGCTGTACGGGATACCAACAGTGATCATCAGCGACTACAACAAGAAATCTACCAGCAGCTTTTGGCGGAACATGCGGCAGCAGTTCAGTTCATCGTACCACCCCGAAACCGGCGGTCAAGCAGAACGCACTCATCAGACCATGGAGCAGTTAATTGAGCCACATGCAACGACCCA